TTAAGAAACCCATAAGTGACTGGAAGGGGAAAAATAAGCCCTTCTGTTATCAAAAACCTTTATATACCTCTCTCTTTAAAAATTAAATAGGTCTTCTAATACTTCACAGTCAGTTTTTCTTTCTTTGGGAACTTTCTTGCCATTGGTATCAAAGGTATTACTTGACTTTTCTTGGTCACTAGGAGTCAAGTTTTTGAGTGAAGAGGTTTGTAAACAATAGGGAAAGAATAGAAGTGACTCTTGAAATTATACTTCAAGTTGTTTTAAGGAAAGTATTAAGAATTTATTAGCAAGGAAGTATAAAAACTTCTTATGAACATCTTTTTTGTGTGTGGTCAGAGGATCAGTGGAAAGAGTTTTTGATGCTATATTAGTAATTATTGCAGTTATTAATAATATAAATAAATTTATTAACAATATTATTTATTTAATAACTTGTAAAACAACAAAGATCACTTTGAGGAACCATAGCTTCAAAAATCTGAAATATCATATTTTCAGTCTTTGATAAAAACTCTCTGGATACAATCAATACAAATACAACCACTATTAAAATTATGACCTGAAAAATTTTACGAAAAACTTAAGAGTGCTTCAAAAATCTTCATATATGTCTTAGGGAAAAAAACCAAAATGTAATAAAATGTATTCTCAAAAAAGTTTGGTCAAAAGGATATGTTTCCGAAGAATAAGTTGCATTCACTATCATAATATGTCAAATGATTTTAAATTCGAGTAATAAAAGTATTTTAATCAATAAAACATTAATTAAAAGCAAAATAGAAAAAAATAAGATAAATTTTAAAATTTTTCGAAATATTATAATGTTATTTGTTTACTATGATATATTTTAGAAAAAATTTAAAAAGAAAATCAGATTTACAGAAGGTAATTCAAGTGATGAAGATCAAAAAATACATAAGCAGGAAGATATTAAACTTCAAAGTACTCCAAAGGAAGTAGAAAATAATAAAAATAATCTGAGATTGCAACTGGAAAATGTAGAAATAAAAAGATCTACTTTGACAATAAATAATGTAAATAATTAATAAAAATATGAAAAAAAAGTAATTTTCAATAAATAAATTTTTAAAAAGACCTGTGGGTCAATAGTACAGTGGGTGTGCTCCCAGGTCACCATTCACAAGTTACTGGTTAAATTCCACTTTAGAACAATATTTGCATTATAGGTTACGTGATATAAGAATGCATGCTAATTAGCCATATGCATACTTAAACATAAAACAACCTATAGAAACCCACCATCTGACTATGGTGTCATAAATCAGGTCACACAGGTCCTGATCAGTTTTAGTACTAGGAAAACAAGCCATGACATACTACCACTTGGAATATGCACAGACATTAAGAATGCCAAGAAAGACAATGATAAAAATCAGGAACCTATCGATCTCATATGGAATCTACCTTTTCTTAAAAACTTCAATCTTATGGGAGGTCTGGGAAACTTCGGTCACATGTACCAGCTGCAAAATATAAGAACTGGACACATACTAGGAGATCTTTGATCGCTATCACCAATGGTTACCAGAGATTGGACCTTGCGCATCATCAATGAGGAGTGATGAAGTTGAATAATCACAATGGAGGATTACAGGAGTAGACTCTAGAAGAAGAAATTCAGAAATAATCATCAAGGTAACCATTCTAATAGGAGGAGCAATCTGTACAAAGTAATCAAGAGAAACCCCTGGAAAGCCCATATTTGAAGAGTGGTTAAAAATGATCACTGGAAAACTACAGTCATCAATCTGGCTCACCAATGGCTGCTGGAAAACTTGATGGGACCGCATGGAACCTGAAAAATATCAATGGACAACTAACTTTCTGAGGACTAAGCATGGTAAAAGGATGTCAATTATAAAATATACATTCCATAAGATATAACAGATCCTACGAATCGAACAATTCCAAATAGCTCTTTGAATATAAAAAGAAGCCCTCTAGTGGATCCTTGGAACACCAGGAGTGCCCAGACACAACAAGACAACTGACAGAATGGTATCTATATTAGATAAAATCTAAGGGTATGTCGAATGGTTTAGGATAGTATAGATTAGATATAAGAATTGCTCTTATAAAATAACTTTGTATAACTCCTTAATAACTTATCAATAAAGTCCAGTAAGTATGACTATTAAAAAAAAAAATTTTTTTAAAAAATAAATATTTTAATAATAATATGAAATTATTTTATTAAAATTTAAAAATTTTGAAAATCTCCAGAATTCTATATATAAATCTTTACTCTGGAGACTTCTAATGATAACAGAATACCTCCAGAGTTTTACACCCAAAAATTTTCAAAGATCTTTGCCAAAAAAATTTCCTGATAATATACTTGATAAGTTTTCAATGATCTCTCCAATACATTTAAATATTATTTATTTAGATCTTAGAAAATAACATATTTTCTTTCTTTTCACTATCTGTAAATTGAATCAGTTTTAATTGACAAGTTTTCAATTAAGTATAGCATCAAATTTAAATATTTTAAGCTAGAAAGTTCAGGTTATGAAGTCTGCTAGTATAGTTTGAGGTAAAGAATATTCAGACAATTATCATAGTTCTAAAGGTAAAGTTCTAGAATCTGTTAGTACAGTTAAGATTAAATTGAAAGTTATCATAAAAAACTCTTTCCGCTAATCCACAATTTCTTAGAAAATTTCCTTTTATGGTAATTTCTTGAAAAACTGGGAAACAGTTTGAAAAACACAAAAGAAGAAACAACATAACTCTTCAAGACACAATACCAAGATACAACAAATCACTTCAAGAACTATACTGGTAACAATTGTAGTTATTGTACTAACTTTTCCTCCTTTTTTCTTTTTTCTAAAATTTTTACAGAGAAAGAGAAAAGAAACTGAAACTGATTCACAGTCAGATAAAAGGGAGCCAATATCAATTTCACAAGCTTACAGCCAGGCCAGTGCAGGTTAACACCTTTCTCGACATTGCAAGGAACCTCCAAAATAACTAAGCTTACTCGATAAATCAAGTTGCTTCAGCCATCTCAAGGCTCAGAAGGATATTAAAGCTCTCTAAAGACAAGACAGTCTAAACATACATACATATCAAAACAACAAACCTATCTCAAAACATGTTACGTGATCACGAACACGTAAAAGAAGTACATAGATAATTCTTTACCAAAACAAGTTGATTGATCGACTACACAAATACTATAACAAGAACAATCAATAAGGATAGGATCATCCAAAACTTGTAAACAACACAACAAGTTTTTCTGGATTACCAAAATAAGGAAAATATAAACATCAATAACAATAGAGTTTATCTGTATTCTAAAAATAGAATAAAAGAGAGATAAACAAGTAAACAAACAATACGTGAAGATAACAACAGCATTATTTAGTGTCTACCGGTGTTCTAAAAATAGAATAAAATTAAAATAAAACACGTAATAACCGCTATATGAAAATCAAAACAACAATAGCACAACACATGACAAACTACAAAAGAATAATCTTTATTAAATAATATTATTTAACAATATGAATAGATCTAAAGCAATACTACATATAGTACAAGAAAGAGAGGAGAAAATTTTGGATACTTTAGTAAATCTATCCAAAAAATACAACGCAGACAACAAATTATGGGCAACCCAGCAAATACTACAACAAAAACATAACAACTCTAGCACTGTTTCTAGAGCATCTTCTCCAGAAACTTGTACCATTATAGATAGTATTATTGCTAGAATACTAGGGGTAGACAAAATGATATTCCACAAAGAAAGAGTGCTGAGCTGACACATTAGCTATTTATGGCAACAAGGAAAAGGAAAAGAAGAAGATCTATATCAGCAATTCCTTAACGAAGAACACATTGATATCATTAAAAAGGTACATACACAGAATATTGAACACATTCGAAACAATAGTCAGCCAATGGAAATCATCACAAACATAGAAAATGAAGCTATTGTAGAAAATGAAATAACAATGAAAGATGCCAACAAACAAGAAGAAATAATGATGGATGAACTTCAAGAAAAAATACAGGGGCCAAACATAACAGAATGCAGTACCTATATCACCAGAAACAGACAAAAATCTATAACCAACAATCCATACTTCATTTGTCAAAAGGGAGTATACAAGATCAGGGTGATGTCTGCTAATATTCCAGGAGAAACGAAAGAAGAATCAATTGCTTATATGAGAGGTTTACTCAAGCTACCAGTAGACAAACAAAAATTTATCCATCAAGAATTCATAAATGGTAATGATTGGTTAACATTCTATGTTAACGAAGAAGAAGATATAATGAAATATCTGGCAGAAATCAACCATAAGGAAGAAAATTTTAGTATTCATCAATTAACCCCAAAGATATATAACATTACAATCCAGAGTAATAGAAGAGATATCAAAGATAATAAAAAATTCTTTTAAATGTTAAAACCTGAAGAAAGAGAAGGAATTTTATATATCAGCTTGGTAGACATCGACAATAAAATAGGTAGACTACAGCTAAAAGATCATCTAAAAAGATATGGAGAAATAAAAAATATCAATATATATAATTACAAAAGAGACAAAGTTAGAGCATGGGTATGTATTAAACAACATAAATATATTACCACTAACCTAGAAAATATATGGATAACACCCATAGGAACAGAAATATCAAGAATGATAGTGACAAAACAAGAACTATCAGATAGGGATATTAATAATATTTTAATAGATAGAAACACACATTCAGCAAGACTCTTTGGTACAAATAAAATATACACAAGCCTGGTGGCTAGAGCTCTGGGAGAAACAAAAGCCAAAGCCTGTTACACACTATTGAACTCTTTTACACTAAAGAAATGAAACTTCACAGTAGTATGTTTTGAAACCAGGGAAGATCTTGATAGTGCCTGTAAACAACACATATTTTTACAAGGGTTTAGATTGTTATGGAGTGCAAAGTTTTCCAAACAGCATAATTCTTCTTCAAGAATGGTACAAGCGATAACTAGGAATAATAAAGATAACAGAATACCAAGATCAACTGATATTAGAACTGAGAATGAGAATGATTCCATATCAGATCTAGAATCTACGAGTCAGAGTTCCGATTCTTCAATAGAAGTAGAAAACTCAACAAGATTCAGTGCCAGAAGAAGAGTCAAAAGAAAAGACAGAATACAGTCTTCTAATCCAGCCACCGGAAGCAACAAAGAACCTATTGTCCACAAAATAGAAGATGATATTACAGAAATAACCCTACCTATGATCAAGCAGAAAAGCAAGATGATAAACAACAGGAATCCTTGCAACTGATCTTAAATAACTTAGAGAACCTCAGTAATAGAATACATAATCTGGAAACAGAACACAAACCTACTATAAGAAATAGATATAGAAAAGAAGCTGATCACTCCTAAAAGGTGCATTGGTTGAAATACAGAATCAGAGGGATAGCAGATCCAACAGTCCCTCAACAAGCAACAATAATATGGACACAGATAATAATAATTATAAAAAAGAAATAGCGCACCAACATTTAGATGAGATAAGTAGGTTTATAAGAAACGAAATATATAATTTTATCAACAATGCAAACAAAAAGGGAAAGAAAACTGCTAGTACAATAAATAAGATGATTAGGATTGCTACTCACAACATACAAGGAATAACAAGTAAAATAGATCAATACAGACTTATAGATGAAATAACCGAACAGAAAATTGGAATTATGGGTCTCAGTGAAACAAAGTTAACAGATACAAATAGTGAATGGGTATTCAAAAATCAAGGCTTATATAAACATTATTATAGTGTCAATGAAGAAATGTCATACGGAGCCGGTATAAGTCTGCTAATTAAAAGAGACCTAGAAAAGAAGGTGGCATCTATCGATCGTATCGAGGGTCATATAATCGTAGCCAATTTCTTAACCAAGAATAACAAAATTAGTATAATACAAATCTATTTACCAAGCGATAAAAAGAGGAGAATACTATATCAAAAAAGAATCAAGAAACTGATCAAAACGAAGCACGAAAATAACTTTCAAATAATTGTGATGGGTGACTTCAATGCAGCCTATAATCCTATAGAAGATAGGTTCTCAATATCATGAACAAGCTTTACCTCATTATGGAAACCAGAAATCTCCCTTTTTATAGATCTTGATGAGTGGGGATTTATTGATATCCAAGCAGTATGGGAAGGTAAAGACAAAACCCCCACTCGTGCAGATACAACCAGTCATAGCAGAATAGATTATATCTAGACATCAGGTAACATAGTAGATCATATCATGGAATCCTTTGAAAACCTAGATACAAGTGACTCTACTGGAAGTGATTATACAATGTTGATTATGACAGTACAAGACAAAAATCTGTTTAGTAGAGACCCTCCAACAAAAATGTTCCCTAAGAAAGTAACAAAACTGAATATCCAGGAGTCAACAAAAGAACAATGGAATGAATTCAAAGAGAGTCTAGACCATAAGCTGAACATATTCCTTAAACCAATAATAAGTTACGAGATAGAAGAAGAAGAAAAAAAAAGACAAATAGATAAAATGTGGAATTGTTTTGAAGAACAAATAATACAGGTAGCTTACAGTAAACTGAAGACAAAAAAAATAGTTATATGAAACCAACAAATAGTAAAGAAACACAGATCAAAGAGCAAAGAATACATACACTTCAGAATAGCCCAGGCAATAAGCTGTTTAACCAAGAAAGCAGCAGCTTCCAGAAAAACAAATGATCTAATATCTCTGAAAAAGATCATAGATAATCATAATAAGAAAAATCCTGAGCTCAAAATAAACGACCTGAATCAATTCAATACCATATCAAACATTCCTTGGAAAAGAATAATATCTGAAATCAGAAAAGTAATTGAGTGCCTGAAAATTGCAAGCTATAATAAAGAAGCAAAAGAAACAAAAGAAGAAGTAAAAAAAGCTCTGGAAAAATGATGTGAAGATCTTAGGGGAAACCAGAAAAGGATGGTTAGATCGTTAACTAATAAGACTAGAACAAAGATTATATTGGATAGAGTCAAAATTACGAAGGACAACTAAACATATATTTCTACAGACAAATATAAAATCAATGAAGAGCTCCAAATATATCACAAGGAAGCCTTCAAAAAAAGAAATGCCAATTTCGAAACACTAACAGAGGATTGGCAGAAGGAATACCTACCGAAAGAATATATTCAAGAACAGTGGTACGAAGAACTACTCATATTAATCTCAGAGGAAGAAATGGATAGAACACTAAAAGCTCTATTAAACAACAAAGCCCCTGGAAAATCACAAATTTACTATGAAATGTTAAAAGAGATGGGCCCAATAAGAAAAGAATACCTGAGAAGCATATTCAACAAAGTACTATCTTGGCAGTATACCCCAATCAAATGAAAACAAAGTTACATATATCCTATTGCTAAGCCCAAGCCATGGCAATGTGAACTGGCAAATACAAGACCTATAGTATTGCTGGAAACAACTTGCAAATGCTTCACCAAAATACTTACCAATAGACTTGCAAATATATATAAAATCCATAATGTACTGCATGGACCAAATTTCGCTGGACTACCAGGTGAAAGTACTGCAGAACCAATACAAGTACTGAACAACATATGCAAAGATGCAAGAGAAAATAAAAAACAACTATGGATTTTATTTCAAGACACAGCCAAGGCATACGATACAATCAGTCTGGAAATGTTGGACAGAGCAATGAAACGAATTAAAATATCAAAAAGCTTTATAGAAATAATAATAGGGCTCTTCCAAGATAGAGAATTTCAAATTATCTATAAAAATGACCTCTCAAACACTATCACAGCCAAGGATGGAATAGACCAAGGAGAAACCATTTCACCTTTGATGTGGAGAATATTCTATAACCCGTTACTATGTAAGATCCAAAATGATAATACAAAAGGTTACAGTATGACTATAGCATGGGATGCAGAGCTAAAACAACACCAGAAAAGCAAACTAGAAACCAGACTAGCTGCCATTGCATTTATGGACGATACTACTTGGATTGCAAAGTCTAAAGAAGATATAGAGAATATCTTAGAAACAGCAAGAATCTTCTACAAAGCCAATGATACACAAATAAATAGTCAAAAATCTATACTCATTACAATAAAAAATCCAAGTCAGGACTCAGGAATAGTTCATGCAGGAATAGAAGAAGAACCAGTCAAAGAGCTTGACAGATCAGAACATGCAAGGTTTCTAGGAATCTGGATAGGAAATAGAAAATCAGCCACGGAAACTACAGAAAGAATGCTAAGGGAAATAGAGACAGTAACCAAGATTCTCAACAAAAAGAAAATAACAGATAAACAAGAACTATATATTATTAATAGAGTCCTTATTCCATGAATAGAATTTAGAATGCAGCATAGTGCATTACCCTGGAAACTATGCAATAAGTTAACATCTGCATATAGAAAACTGTTTAAAAACAAAATCTCTCTATACAGTACAATACCCAACAGTACTATACACCATCCAAAAATATATGGATTAAAAAGTATATGGGCTCTTCAAAGAGAAAGCCAGATAACAGGCTTATTTAATGTTCTAAACGATCAAGGTTTGACAGGAATAACAACAATAATAAGATTGAAACAAGCCCAGCTTAAACATTGGGAACCTGATAACCTCTTCACATCAAAGTCACTAAACCATATCTCGAATAAAGGAAACTTTGCACTTAACACTCTGATAGCAGCAAAAGAAATGGATATTTCATTCGAAAGTTAGAAATGGAGCAACATTTTTGAATGGAAACAAGGCAACATCTCAATAAGATCATATATTGGGAATAATATATATTGCAAAGCAATACCCTCACTCCGTAATAACAAGTTAATGTATATAGATCAATTAATAGAATTAGAAACAAATAATATAAGAAAATGGAGAATGGTACAGTTGCTGCAAAACACTAGTAAAGGACCAATACCAGAGTGGTTTTCTAGATTAGAAAGACATTTTGATAATGATGAGGTGAAAAAGTTAGTTACAAACTGGTCGATAGATAAATGGAAAAAATGGAGGCCAGAATATCCAAACCTTCCACAGAAGCATGATCAAAGAACCAAAATATGGGGAGTAACCTTTACAGAAGAAAAAACAGTAATCTGGGAAAAAATAGGTCACAATATGGATAAAAATATGGTGGAAATGTGGCATTACGTTTGTGAAGGAGATAATCAATCTTTAAACACAAAACTATAAGCATGCAAAGGATGTAAAAATGGCACCACAAAAGGAAGTTGATGTATGATTGTTAGACCAGTTAAAGTAATATATATAGTTCCCTACTTGAATCATAGAAAGCAAACAAAACTGGCAACAGATTTGTTGATCCCCAGAAACAAGCAGACAATAGAAACAGAATTATTTGACCAAGCTACAAGAAACTCGCAAGAAAATCAAGATCCAATATATAAAGTCCACTCTCATATAGATATAGAAAATTGGGAAGAAGAAATTGTTAAAGAAAATGTGATAGAAGGTTTACACCAAAATAACTTAATAGATATATTAAAGAAAAACATGCAAGACCAGGGTAAATTAGTTTTTTATTCAGACAGATCATTAGAAAACTATGGTAAAAAGGATGTTAGAATAGGAGCTGTATGGATTCAAACAGAAGGAGGTGGTGCAGATAGCAAGTTCCAAACAGGTGTTGAAAACTGGCCATCTTCAACCAGGGCAGAATTAGTAGTCATAATGACAATACTACTAGTAGTATCAATAGATAGAGAAGTTGAAATTTGTACTGATAGCACATCATGTATTAACAAATGGAAAAAATTATCAGTCACTGATCCACGAATAACTAGCAAAAGATGGTTGAAAGAAAAAAACTGGTTATTATGGGTGAGAGTACTAGAAATTGTTAATAAGAAGCAGATTAAACTTCAGTTAACTAAAGTCAAGGCACACTCAGATAACTACTTCAACAACGTGGCAGACGAATTAGCAAAACAAGCACTAAAATTTCTCTGTATAAAGTGGAAGAGACTTAATTCTAGCAAAATCTTAACAGCAATAAAGTGGCAAGATGTCACAGTAGATTGCCCAATTAGAC